GGAGATAAGATGGTCACATTGTTGTTTTGACAAGTTTGCCCATCAAAGCAAGTCTATCTAATTGATGACCATTTCTCTCCACAGTGCTAGCCTCTATTGACACAAATATTTTTGAGAGTTTACAGTGGAGGTATTGGTAACTTGCACACAAAATTTTGAATCAGATAAGGAGAATATGAGGTGTCTAAGAATATTTTATGGTTGGCTTATGGGTGCTGACCAATTCAGGGCAAACAGGTCAAGGCATTTTAACACTACCCAAAAGCATCTCTCCAGAATAAAACTTACAGATACAATATGTATATGTTTCCTCCTACTCACTTGCAAAATTTTATGTGCTCCCAATGAGAGGGAGGCGTGCAATCTGCAATTTAAGCTAAAGTGACCTGGTAATGGTCACACGACAGTATTGAAGAGAATATTTTAAATTTCTTTCCCAATATATCTGGCCAAGAAAAGGTGTAAAATCTATTGATTTCTACACAATTTATCTGCCATTTATATAAGCCAATGCCCACAGTGAATATATGGATGCCCTCCAAGCACCGGTGTTCTAAAGGATCCGGCAACTCGGCTGTGTAAATAACCGATGCCCAACTCCAAAATATAGAATTGCCAAAGCACAATTCTGAGAGGATATATTGTCAGAATAATTGCATGAATTCAATTGTAAAGTCCACTAGAATGTTTTTACTCACAAATACGACAGTTTGAACACCTAGAATTGACCTAGAAGGAAAAAGAGTAAAGGTCAGACCACTTGCAAGGATTGCTTTGAGTTTCGCACTTAACAACCACCTTACACTCTACCTGAATGGGTTGACCGCGGTTACATCACACAGCCCACACCAAACGAGAAGCCAACAGAGCAAAAGGTGCATGTTGCTACCTCTGGTATGACTCCCTTATCCTGCCTTTGACTAACAACATTGAAATCTTTAAGTCATAAACCTGAAATTCTAGCACGATGACGGAAAATACGACAATCCGAAGACTTAGAGTGAGTAGCCACTTCAATACTGTGGGATTACAGCTAACTGCATAATCGTAGACCACATCTGAAATTTCACTTTGCGCCTTTATCTGTGCGTAAACATCTGTTTTAGGCTGTGGCTACATATGTAAACCATGACGCCCATTCGCGTGCGCTGCCCATTGCTCCACGTTCTAGCACCATTTCGGTAGTTGCTCCAAATGCTCCAATCCCGCCCCGCACGTCATAAGGGTGGAGCGGTTGGAACCTGCGAACTTGGAAGGGTGTTCTACCTAATACGGTTGTTTGTACAAATAAAGGCACACAAAGTAAAATTTAGATATGGTCATCAGCAAATCAGGGGAAATACCCTGAGCCATCATAAGGTCCAAAATCGATCACAATCCACCACAATCATCACAATTTACAATAAGATTTCAATCCCCCTCACAACGTCTAATGAGGCCTCATCATCGCTGCGTTTTTAGGCAATCTCTCACAATTTAGAGCAAGATTTTACAATCTTGTGCTATCATAAATTCTTTTGCGACGTTAAGATCTGTTTTGATTGCTTATGAGGGATTCTGGACTGTTCAGACATTCATTCCTTTCAATTTTATGGTTCGTAGAATTGAAACATATGTATTGTGTTACAAAATAAAACAAGGACTAATGACCACGAACAACTGTAAATGCCTGCATACCTAAAGAGAATGGATAGAACTCAAATGCAGAACGCACGGTCTCCTTTGTGCGACAAAGTTGTTCGCCCAAAGTCACGGCTTGATCGGCCATAGGGAGGGAGAAGACCTGGGAGGCAAGCTGTTGTCTTTCGCAAAGTCGAGTGGTGGTTGGTTGATGTCGATGGCAACGATGACGGAGATTGGGCGATGGCATGAGCGAGAAGGTAGATGGTGCCAACACTGACGACAAGGTCGGTTTGACCAGCAGTAAGGTTCCCGCAGCGTGTACCATGGATGAGAACAGACACGGCCTCTGAGAGTGTGGCCTGCTCAAATGTGATTTATTAGGAGATGGACTTTCGGTCAGGGAAGGGCAGGACTCACGAGAGGGTAAGGCCAGACTAGACCGGCACATACACCAACTCACCGATGTGGTCAACATCGGTGAGCAGGTGTATGCGCAGACTTGGGGAGCGATAGTAGGTGGTGGTTACAAGGTTGGGAACAAGTTCGGATTTGCAAACTTCAACATGAGTCACATGTCACAATATTCCGAACTCAGCCGAACCTACCCAATGACTCCATCTCTGCTCGGAAAGTCAAAAATCTACTGACAACAGCTGACAACTGGAGTGGTATCTCTGTGATACAGTGATACTGTCGAGAAGTGTTCCCGTTCATGAACACCTGACAAGTGCTATGGTTTGACCAATTCTTCCTCTTCACACTGTCTCATAATTAAACATAAGAGTTACATATATGGTTTTATCCAACCACAAGACTAAGATACTCTCCATCCATCCTCACAGGGAGCACACAAGGATTACAATGGATTGTGAGGGATTGTGATCTGCCATCATCTGAGTAACTAGAGTTTGACATTGTTCCAATGTCAACAAAAATCTTGCTTGTATTTCACACAAGATAAGAATAAAAAATCTTATACTGCTGAGTACTGACTCCTACTGGCGCAAAGCCGGCGATGACATAAAAATGAAATGAAATTTCTTCAGAGTAAGTTTGTGATCTTTTATTGGCTGCTCGTCGCCGAACCGCTTGCGCGGTTCGCTCCTCGCAGCCATTGGAAGTAGTAGTCGAAAACCTGGCACGACAACAAATAGTGTTTGAAAGTCCGGTTCGGTCCGGTTTTTTGATGCCCAGTGGCGTTAACCGTAACCGTAACCGGTCTGCCTTTTCCCCAGAAGTCAAAAGACCAGACCGGACCGCAAAAAGACCGCAGACCGCGGTTTTTTGCGGTCCATAGACCGGTTTCGGTCTGCATCGGTTTTAACCGGTTTATGACCGGTCTTTAGGCCAATATTTTAAAATTATGAATCTGTAAATTTATTAACATCTCTAATAGCTTCAAAACGAGCCCAAGAACGTTAAATTCCATTAGGAATTGGTGCTTCTATAAAATAAGTCTGGTACATCTATTATTCCCAAAAGTAATTTACATTTTAATTCATATCTCTCTCGTTTTTTTACCAAATCGTACGTTCTTGGGTGCGTTTTAAAGGGTATTTAAGGGGCTACAAAAGACCGGTCCAAACCGGTCAAGACCGGTTCACGTTAACCGGTCTTTTTGCGGTCTTTACATTTCAAAAATAAAAGACCATAACCGCAGGTCCGGTCTTTTGCGGTCTTGGTCCGGTCTGGTTACGGTCTTTTTCCAGTCACGAGACCGGACTTCCAAACA